ATATATATATATATATATATATATATATATATATATATATATATATATATATATATATATATATATATATATATATATATATATATATATATATATATATATTTTTTTTATAGATATATATATATATATATATATATATATATATATATATATATATATATATATATATATATATATATATATATATATATATATATATATATATATATATATAATTAAATGTAACTTAAATTAATTTAATTAAATAAATAAATAAATAAATAAATGATTACAAAAAAATTGTTTTTTTTTAAAGACAGCTATTTTTTTGTAATCTCTTCATAAGGGACCCACATTTCCAAATTGCATTCATGGGCAGAGTTGGGATAACGCATTACAAGTAATTTGAGTTACACAATAATATTACTTTTGAAAAATTAAGTAACAATATTTGAGTTTCTTTTTCAAAAATGTAATGGGAGTTACCCTTAAGTTCAGTTAATTCACTTTTAAAAAATAAATAGCTGAATTAAAACGATCGTAGTCACGTTCAATCCTGGACTCAATGAGAGAATGCAGAAACAGATAGAACCCAAGATAGCAGAGTCGTACATTTCTGCGATAGAAATATTCTCTTCATTTTGAATACATGGAAGAAAAGGGAAAGAGGATTATCTGAATGGACAGGGATTTTACCTCACTAATAAGACAAGAAGTACAAAAGTAGCAAACGCATTGCTTTAAACTTTCATTAATCTGTATGTATGGCAGGTAGAGCTCTGGTGACAGGAAGTTCTCAGAAGATAACATTAACGTTTTAACGGTAAATGAAAGTTCTAAAAGGGATCAAGCCTCATCCAGGTCAGAAAAAGTAACGCAAAAGTAACCTAACACATTACTTACCATAAAAGGTAACTAAAAAAACGTGACTAGTTACTTTTTGGGGGGAGAGACTCAATATTCTATTGCATTACTTTCTAAAGTAACTTTCCCCAACACTGTTTATGGCGATAACATGGTTTAAGTGTAAGTAAATCAGTAAAGATAAATCCGTTCTTACATAGACCATGACGTGACCTTTGACCTGTGGTGCAACTAAAGCCCAGTTTACTGCTGTTGCACTGCTGAGGATCAGAACAACCCTGTGTAGAGCAGAAGAAGCCACTGGGGGCAGCAGAGAGACAGACACCTCCACCTGCAGAGAGCTGACACACACACACACATTTTTATTAAGAGTTTTCCCTGCTTTAGTGCATGTTAAGCACACTCTATACCAACAGGGGGCTTTTAAGTTCACTCCAAATGTGGAATTAAGTTTTTTTTTAAAGTAAATTGCATACAAGTCAATGCAAACATAAGAAAAGAAGTGGATTGCTGTCTCGTAGTGAGAACGATGTGGAATAAGCGATGCGTTTTCCACTAATTTTGCCTAATTCTCATCTTTGCTTTTGGTGTGAACCCAGCCATTTTGGCCAATCAGAAAGAAGTAAACAACTTGCACTCTGATGTCATGAGGTGAAAATTTGCTTGTAGTGTCCACACAACCACAGTGTTACTCCACTGGAGTTTTGAAAAGTTTTCAATATTATTAGTAGAGAACTTACCCGCACAGGCTGGAGCCGGACGACCAGAGTCGGATGATGTGCACCTCACTATCTGTAGGCTCGTCTGTCGGTGTGCAGCCGTGGACCTCCTGATCCTGCAGCTCTGAGGCCTGATAGTTCTGGGACACAAACAAAGAGCGCAGACGACACTCGCTCGGCATGCTGGGATCTGGAAAACAGATGGATCAGTAGTCACAATATGATGAGTGTGATCGGAAAAGAATCAGGAGCGAAATTAGGATGAGTGTGACCGGAAATGAATCAGGAATGAGTTTAGGATGAGTGTGATCGGAAATAAATCAGGAGTGAAATTAGGATGAGTGTGATCGGAAATGAATCAGGAGTGAAATTAGGATGAGTGTGATCAGAAATGAATTGGGAGCGACATTAGGATGAGTGTAATCTGGAGTGAATCAGGAGCGACATTAGGATAAGTGTGATTAGAAATAAATTAGGAGTGACATTTTAATGAGTGTGATCAAAAATGAATCAGGAGTGACATTAGGATTAGTGTGATCAGAAATAAATCAGGAGTGACATTATGATTAGTGTGATCAGAAATGAATCAGGAGTGACATTATGATTAGTGTGATCAGAAATGAATCAGGAGTGACATTATGATGAGTGTGATCAGAAATGAATCGAAAGTGATATTAGGATTAGTGTAATCAGAAATTACTTAGGAGTGACATTATAATGAGTGTGATCGGAATGGAAACTGGAGCGACATTAGCATGCGTGTAATCAGAAATTAATTAGGAGCGACATTAGCATGCGTTTAATCAGAAATTAATTAGGAGCGACATTAAAATGAGTGTGACCAGAAATGAAACAAATGTGACATTAGGATGAGTGCGTTCAGAATTGAAACATGAGTGACATCAGGATGAGTGTGATCAAAAAATAATCAGAAGTGACATTAGAATTAGTGTGATCAGAAATGAATTAGGAATGACATTAAAATTAGTGTGATCGGAAATGAATCGGGAGCGACATTAGGATAAGTGTGATCGGAAATGAATCAGGAGCGACATTAGGATAAGTGTGATCGGAAATGAATCAGGAGCGACATTAGGATGAGTGTGATCAGAAATGAATCAGGAGGTACATTATGATGAGTATGATCAGAATTGAAACAAGAGTGACATTAGAATGAGTGTTATCAGAAATGAATCAGGAGTGACATTTGGATGAGTGTGATCAGAAATAAAACAGGAGAGACATTAATATTAGCGTAATGAGAAAAGTATCAGGAGTGACATTAGGATTAGTGTGATGAGAAATGAATCAGGAGTGACATTAGAAACAGTGTGATCAGAAATGAATCAGGAGTGACATTAGGTTGAGTGTGATCAAACATTAATCAGAAGCGACAGAATAGATAGAATTAGTGTGATGAGAAATGAATCAGGAGCAACATTAAAATTAGTGTGATCAGTAATGAATTAGGAGTGACATCAAGATAAGTGTGATCAGAAATGAATCAGGAGTGAGATTAGGATGAGTGTGATCCGGTGTGAATCAGGAGTGATGTTAGGATGAGTGTGATCAGGAGTAAATCAGGAGTGACATTAAAAACAGTGCAATCAGAAATGAATCAAGAGCGATATTAGCATGAGTGTGATCCGAAATTAATCAGGAGTGACATTAGAATGAGTGTGATCAGGAGTGAATCAGGACTGACATTAGAAACTGATTTGAAATGAATCAGTAGTGACATTAGAATGAGTGTGATCAGAAAAGCTGTTCTTCAGGTTTGTGTATGCATGTGTGAGTGTGTGTGTCTCACCCTCTCCCAGGCGCAAGTAAATCCGGTTGGAGTGTGTGGTGTGTGTGAGGGAGGTGACGGTGGCGTGGCGCTGCAGAACCCAGCGCAGCAGCACTCGAGGCCGCCGCGGCAGAGATGGGACCTGCGTTACGCGGACAGACAGACTCGAAGACTCTGCCGTGGAGTTCACAGACAACTGGAACACACAATGAACAACTGAAATAAATGTTTTTCTCAGAAATCCCTCAATTTTATGAAAAAGTGAAAACGTGGCCACTGCAATTGCTTGTTAAACATCTAAGTATCCAACAAACACAATGTTCTCCTGACATTCCTTTTAGGTAAGTATATTGATCTAAAATCTGTAAGTAAAATTTGGGTAACCTGTAAAATAAATATTATACATGAAAAAAAGTCTCATCACAAATATGTCTGTAGAGTTTTTTTTTACTTATGTCTTATGTCTTATTTATAGTCTATCTAAAAATTCTAGACACGTAGAAAAATAGTCTTGTTTTCAAAAATAATGTCACACAATGATCACCTGCACACTGGAAAGAGCTAAAAAACATCTGTAACATCACACACACCTGCACCAGCACATTGATGTTGCTTGACAGTCCCTCATTTTCCAAAACCCAACGCACGGCCTGCTGAGAGCTGAGCACTAGAATGACGGGTCGTTTGATTGGTCGAGAGGGATTCAGGGGTCTCAACACCACTGTCACCTGCAGACAGATACAGCTGAAAGACGTGCGCACTATGACAAGTGAGTGCACGGATTCTTATATACCTGTCTGCTGGAGGCTCCGCCCACTGAGATAACATGTGTCTCTTTAGCTCCGCCCTCTCTGGATGCACAACCTGTTCCCGCCTCAAAGCGCTCGAGCTGGGCCTGAACAGGGTGCAGCGCCGCCACTGGAGACACGGAGCACTGCAACTCCCTGCTGGACACTGACACACACACACGGCACGCACGCAGGTTTGCTTCACTATCTATATTGCGTAAACTTCCATTGTTTTTCTATCAGGTTAATGATAGTGTCTATGGCCTACACCTAGTCCTAACCTGAACCCTAAACTAACCCTCAAAGAAACAAGTGCTCATCATAAGGTACTAATACACACATATATATATCCATTAGCAGTGTGCTGCGTGTGGTGTGACGGCAGTGAGAGCTTCATTTGCAGATCTGATATGGGTGAAAGTTGGTGCGCTAAATAAGTGTGAGCTATGAGTGTGAGTACTAGTGTGTGTTTGTGTGTGTTTATATATATATATATATATATATATATATATATATATATGTGTATGTGTATGTGTATATATATATATATATATATATATATATATATATATATATATATGTATGTGTATGTATATATATATGTGTATGTGTATGTGTATATATATATATATATATATATATATATATATA